GTTTATCTGGCAACACAAATCGGTCATATAAAAAGGTCTGCTTCCCTGTGTCACTGATGCATTTACAGTGTTGTCAATGTATTAATTGGAGAGTAAGATCCGGTTGGCAGCAATCATGTCCCTCCCCCACTGGAGTGTGCTACCTTCTCTGCCCACACCATGCTTTAAAGTAGTATGTTTACATCTTGGGGCAACTATTAGGTCATCTTTTTTCTCAGAAGTTGTGAAGTCTGTCAAAAGCAAGGGCCACCTCTGAAATTATTGTGTTTTTCACAGTTACCTTTACTGATAAAATGGAGCTGTAGACATTTGGATTGTTTCAGAAAATACTGTGCTGTGCTACAGCAATAATACCGGTAATAAATATTCAAGGAAAAATTCTTGCTATCACTGTAGGATGATAAAAAAGGCCTAACAGCTCATTATCCAATGGTCACTGATCAGATGAAGCAGTTCACCACTCTTTTCTCTCATGACTAGTGAGCCATTCTACAAGTAATACTCTGCTGTTTGACTATGTGGTCATTGTACCACCTACATGTCTTCAGTTATCAAAGAGAAATATCTGAATTCTTCACCCCTATGTAACTAGAAGTACTGTGATGAAATATGCACTTGTGAATGATATTTTGTGTCTGTCTTTAAGTATGGACTTTACTCAATAGGAACCCTTAAAAATTAAGTGTCCTTAATGGCACTGTTTTAAAACAAAGCACAACCTTTGTGTTTCTGATGGATTGGCCACCATATTATAGTATTATTTAAACAGTCCTAGGGTTGTTTTGAAACATCTACAATATCACACATAGCAGTAATTCATTAAGAGCAAGATGGATTTTGGCAACATCTTTTCAATGACCTTTTGAAATGGATAAGTGACAAGCAGCTTGCACATGTGATTCTACTGAAGTAAAAATTGCTATAATTTCCATGTAAGTGCCCCAGCAGCAGCAGAATGCACTTTCATCTCAGAATCTGCTACCCTGACCTCTGTGGTATTGACCAGAGAAGGTCATCTGTAAGCAAAGCTTTGAGGAAAACAATTTCAGACTTCCTTGCTTGTGTTTGAACTGTTGTTTGTTCGTACTTGTCTGCCATATAGACAAGTTTGTGCTAGGTAAAGGGTTTGTGTATTTGTTTGTCTCTCCATAACTTCTTAGGCCATGTAGGAGTTAAATTGTCTTTTTGTGTTAGGGACTGTTCTTTTGATATGGCATTTGCTATATGTGGAGACAGAGATTACAAACAAGGAAGCAGTTCATCTTCTTGTCATTAAGATTCATTCCATTTGTGGGTCTAATACTGTACATGGTTACATTAGTGTAATCCTGAAATACTACCCAGAATTAATTTGAATTATTTGAAATTCCATAGTTCTCTAATTTTAGAGAGTACTTTATGTTAAGATTTTTGCATGCCCCAATGTTCTCCTTTTATTTTGGTACTATAGGGAAAGTTTGAAAAATTGTCATCAACGTAAACCAAAAATACCTCAGGCAACTAAATGCATGCCCTACGTTATTTCATTATTCATTAATTATTCTGTTATTCCTCTCCTCTCCTCCCCACAACCACCTCTTCCCACTACCCCTAAAAAACCACTAAGGAAACAAGCACACCACGATAAAAATGCTAATAAAAGGAATAATTCCAAATAGACCATAAAAGACAGCATTTATAATCTCAATAGAAATGCCAGTCAGCTTTTTTTGATGTAAAGCATCTGTCTCCAAAAGGAAATGAAGGCAGGCCTGTTTCTGCTTTCAAGTTTCTGAAGTAGTAGGTGGTGTCATTTGTTATACAGTGCCTCAAGTCCCATGTTATTGCACTGGTAGCTGTCGACTGCCTTTGTTAACATACTGAAAAGTTTTATCAGCTGTCTTTAATAAAAGACAATCTATGTGAAGAAAAACTATAGCAAATGTCTCTTGCTCTCTTATCCTCTGCCCAACCTTTATAGCTGTCAGAGAGCAATGGCAGTGATGTATAATGTTGCAGACATGCAAAATTCTTGTGACTGTTACTATAAGCCATAGATATTGGGTTGACAGATACCCTAGAAAGTTAGGGAGCAGTCTTTCCAAAATGCTGTGCAATTCCTCATTTGAAACATAAAGGAGCTGGAATGAACTTTCAGGACTACCTGAAATGAGTTATCAGTTTACATTTTCCATGGATACATTAGTTTAAAGCATTAATGGCATAGAATTTGTTAGGCCTTCAGGAAATTAGGGATGATGTGTAGAAGTTGGAAAATTTCAGTTAAAAGTCATGCAGTTTGTCCTTTTTATTTGTTTTTGTTGCTTGCTCTTGTGAAATAATATATCAAAGAGATGGTGGTAGAAGAGTTTCTTAGGTTCTATAGTCATATATATGATGTTCTTTGGAGTACTGGATTAGTCCCATACACACACCATATTTTCAGGAGGGTATGGAGGAGGTGGAAAGGAATTCTTGGAGCCATATGAGACATCTGTGTTACTTCCCACACAATAGGTTTTGTGGATGCTGTAGAATTGGCCCTGAGCACATTTAAACATGTGTCTTATTTATATGAGTTTTTCTCGGTTTAAAGTTTTTTAATCCTTATCCACTGTAAGTTTTGTCTCAGTGCAAACATACACACATATTTCAAGTGAGAAGTCAGCTCTGTGTCAATAACTGTGCTCTTGAAGAAAACAGTTTGATTCATGAACTCTTACTAGGGAAATGAATAGCGTGAACAGAGGGAATGGACGTTCCTACTCATGATGTGAGAAAATTCTCTCAATCAATCTGAAGTCTAAAAATAAATAAAATATGTGGACATTGGGACAACCATCCATATACAGTGGAGCTAATTTCCAAGCCTTCTTCACTTTATAACATCAATTAACACCCAGAACATTGGTAATTAAGGAGTGTATTATTCCATTATAAACTAGTATGCAAGACTGACACTGCAAAGGTGAAGCTGTGAAAATGTGGCTGCTGATATGTGTTGCCTGTAGCAAAGATTACATTTCAGGGGCATGGTTTTCCTTCTCTGTACAGAATGTTATGGAAGAGAAAATCTTGGAGAGTATTTGACTGGCAAAGCTAAATAAAACCCAGCTGGTTTTTTTTGTTTGTTTGTTGATTCTCAGTAGAAGGAACTAACTGACTTAGGGGAGGTGGAAAAAATCTGTCAGGGTAAAGTAAGAAAAATTAAGCCTAAAAATAACATCTTCAGATTCCACTGCATTTGCATTGTGATGTTTACAATAGAGAGAGCTGAACTAATTTTGTTTTGCCTAATTTTGAAACTCTGGAAGCCACTTGTTCTGAGAATTTGGTATGTCGCAAATTCTTCCTGAGATTTTGTGATTCATATATTAGCAGCTGAAAAGAAGAAAGAAGAAAGCTGAAAAAATATGGAATATTTATAGGATATAAAGCTGTAGAATTATCTGAATAACATTTCCACCACAAAATTAAGGTTTTGGACACAAGAATTATGGGGGGGTTTGTTGAAGTTTGATTCAAAAGGATAACAGTAATGAATTTAACTTGCTAGTGGAGAGGTTTGGAACATAGGTAAGTCTTCCTCATCATGGTGATTTCCTATTATCACATCAGTTTGGGAGACCATCTGTAGTGCATATTCTATTGGCCGTATACCTACTATATTTTCATAGAATCATGGAATGGTTTGGGTTGGAAAGGATGTTGAAAATCATCTAGTTCCAAACCCTCTGCCATAGGCAGGAACACCTTCCAGTACACTGGGTTGCTCAAAACACCATCCAACCTGACCTGGAACGCTTCCAGAGATTGGGCATCTGCAGCTTCTCTGGGCAACCTGTTCCAGGATCTGCCCATTTTCCTGAAGTTATTGTCACTGAGGGGCTTCTAAAGCATACAAACACCCCCTCCTCACAGTAATCTGAAGCTGATTTGCCATTCACATTTTGAGTATTGTATTTTGATCAGAGCACTGATGAGTGGTGTCTGGAAACACTTGTCCTCTGAGGCAAAACAATGTGACTTCAAAAATGAGTGTTTCTGAAGCTCGTTGGAACTTACAGTGACCTGAGAGGGAGAACCATAGTGAACTTTGTGTATCATTTTTCCCACTTTTTCTTTGAAAGGCAAGGTACTGGTTTGGCAAATGCCTTTATTGTGCTCTCACTAGCATGTACCTTTGGTACTTGCCAAAAGGTAGGTTAGACTGTTTGTAGCTTCATAAATGTGCTTTTCTGCCCTTTTAGTACTTGTTAACTCCAATGACCAGGCATATTTATATCATGAAGAACCTATTATTTCATAATGGAATAATCTAGACATGAAAAAATAAAAACAAGAAGCATTTTTTCTTAGCTGAAGATGGAAAAATTGTTAGTAACATAAGAAGCTTTTAAATGGATTTGTTATGAAATTTTAACATCTTTATTAAAATAGCATGTGTTTCCACCATTGTTAATTTTATTCAGTCATTCATTAAGAAATAATTGCCACAGCCTGAATCTAAATGAATATCCTAGAACCCCTGAATATCCTTAGAATCTGAGAACAGTTTGTATTTTCTACTAGTTATAATTAAGACAAAGAGAAGAAAGGGATAAGTTCCAATGTGTTAATTATTTCCAACAATTATAAATTCTTTATTGGCAATGAGTTTGATTAAAATTAAATTCCTATCTTTAATCCAGTCTTGGATTACTTTAATTTTCTCTTGGAACCTGTGCTATGCCAACATTACCATATGTAAAGCTTATTGAGTTCTGTGTTTTCTCATTAAAGTGGGAAGTATATGTTTGTAGACACCAGAGCTTGACCTGTTCAAAGCACAAAGTGTACAGCAACTGTTCAGAAACTTTTTCTTGTTATCTCTGTTTGCTTAAATTACTAAATTGCTTCCACGGAAAGTCTGAAAACATAAGGGAATAACTTCCTTAAGTGGAAGAAGATTGTCTAAAAAGAAAAATTGAAAATACTCCTAATATTCTTCCTTCCTTTTCTTTTTTTTTTTTTTGTACCAGTATCCAGCTGCCCTGATGAATCTTGGAGCCATTCTCCATCTGAATGGTAAATTGAAAGAGGCTGAAGCAAACTACCTCCTTGCTCTTCAACTTAAACCTGATGATGTCATCACCCAGTCCAACCTGCGCAAATTGTGGAATATAATGGAGAAACAAGGTTTGAAGACATCCAAAACATGATAATGAAAACTCTGAATTTTTCTTCCTTAAACTTATTAAATCCACAAACTAGAACTTCCACACAGTTGTTCGGTCAGAGAACTCACTGGACTTGGCTGCAAGGATGAGAGGTCTTACTTACCGCCAAGGAGAAACTATTCTACCAGATAAATAGAGGAAGAGATACTTTGAGGTATTCGTGAAGGACTTGTTACCCCACAAAAACATTTGGAACCATGGCACTTGAGAGGAGGTGTTTTGGCATATTTGATAAATCATTGCAAATCCCGTATTGCTTACTTTTGGGTGGGTACCTGAAATGTGTACTTTCATAGAAATACTAAGGGAAAATCTCACAGTATACACTAAGCCATGTGGGAGTTAAAGTGGTAATAGTGGGTTAAAGTATTTTGCTGATACTGTAACTCATTAAAATGTATACTAAATCCAAATGTTTGCAGTTTGTCTTAATGCTGCTGTATCTCACTTTTGAACCATTTGCTTTCCAATTTTTCAGCTTATATGGCAAATTTTTTTCAAACCTGTCACATGATTAGATGACAGCATTCAAAGTTGTTTGCTGAAACATGCCTATTATTTCAGCATGTTGACTTTTAATCCAGGTTTCTTGAGACATACAGTCAAATTGCTGTCAGGTAGACAGAATGACTGAGGAACTGCCCATATTCTACATCAGACATAGTATGTAGGCTAGTAAAAAAAAGTCCATAGGTATGATTTAGCAATACAAGAAGGAGTCATGTTTGCCCTGATACCAAATCAGTGTGGTCAGACTGTCATCTTAGGAAAAAAAATAATTGGTATTATAGAATAATGGGTCTGACTCTCTTTACTTTGCCGTTAGATAAGTCCAACTTTAAACTGGACTCTGGATACAATATTTTTGCAATAACTAGTATAAGTGAGATTTGTGAAAGTATTAGTGCTTGGATATGCTACAAATGAGACTTTATGAGCAACTCTGAGAAAAGGGAATGTTATCCATTAGTGAGGCTCACAAATAACTGAAGGGACTAGATTAGATTATGCTTAAAATAGTGTAGATCAAGAGAAATTTGTAATGGTGGTTGCCAGTTACTTTTCACAGTGGTGGTGTTTTAAAGCGTATTACCTATTCAGATTCTAACCAAATATTAGCATTCTGTTTGTATTCTTACATGTGCTAGCAGCAGAGCTGTCAAGTATCTAAATACACTTTTGGTGAGGTTCATTTCTGTTTCAGAATGATTTGTCCTCATTACTGTTTTAGTCTTCAGATTTTCAATGTAAAGATAATTTATTTCAAATTGAGTGTATGAAGCTTTAGTCAGTTTTTTTTCCAGACCATTTATTAACTGCTTTCTTTCCTTGGAATAAGTATTATTGCTTGTAAGAAAATTTACTATTTCATTTAGTGGCCCTTTGATATCTGCTTCAGTATTCCTTTCATAATGATAGATAAAATGTTAAAGTGGTAGAGCACCTTGAACTGAAGCTTCTTCAGGATTTTCTGTTGAAAACTCTTTATTACTGAGAAAGTGTTTGGGATTTTTACTTTATGTATTCCTTTTTAACTGTTGAGCACCATTCCAACAAAAATGTAGAGAACTCTTTGCTGTATTTATTTATTTATTACTTGACTGCAGCAATGTTACCTGCCATTAACACAACAGTCTGTAAGTGTTGCTATTTCTTTTGTTTGGTTTTACTTGCATTTGTTTTGTGGTACCTAATGGGAAAGGGAACACTTGAGTTATACTCTACCTTCTTGGTCGTTCTCCCCTTACACTTGGATTTTAACTCTGTATTGAAATAGATTGGGGAATAGCTGTTTCAAAGTCAGTATAGTAAAAAAAAATATAGTAATGTGTGTTTCCTTTTCTTTCATATTGCTCACTAAAATACCATAAGTTGTTAAGTTTACAACTGGCCTGCCAGAAGGGCCACAGGGACAAGATTGTTTGGTTTTGTGGAGTGTGTCAAGTTTTTCTCAAATAGTGTTGTTGCTGAAAAAGCAAAAATGAAGGATCAAAAGTTGAATTTCTACTTTATAATTGAAACCAGTGTTAGAATACAATGGTAGCTTGAACGTGTTCTCCTGCTTTACTGGCTTTCTGGGAAAAAGTATAGAAATAGATAGTCACTATAACTGATTTTGGTATAGAACTGTGGTATCCTGGAGCTTTATTTTCTCAACAGTCATCAAACTTTGATGGCTTCTTGGTCTTAACCATTCACCATGTTATTTGTCTCCTTCAACTTGTACTTATTCTTGTTTAGTAATTTTTATTCATTGCACAAAAAGGGGGAAAAGGGGAGCACTCCTGTGATACGGTGTCATGCTTGCATTGATAACTGGTTTTGTTTGTTTCTGTAACAAAAAAAAGAACAGGAAAAGAAAGAAAAAAAGGACTACCATAAATTTTCCAAGAATGTCCCTGAATACATTTTTTTAATATAGGTCTGGGCTTGATAACTTTCTTCTTTTGGGATAAATTTAAAACATGTTTAAAATATTTCTCTCTGCTCAGGGATTTATGGTGGATTATTGCAGACAGTGCTAAAAAAATATAAAAGAGCACAAGATCAGTTTTCTAAATTAAAATTTTATTTTTTGAAAAACTGTTATTTGTATAAATTATCAGATTTGTAGGCTTTCCTTTTTGTAGAAATAATTGTTTATGTGCCAGATAAAAAAATTTCAATTTTGTTTCAATAATAAAGCATTGATAATTAATACACTGTGTATTCTTTTGTGTTACTGTAACACTTTGGGGTTTTTTAATTGTTCTAATTTAATGAGTAGTGTTGATTGTTTTATGTGTGGGAGAATTATGTAGCATAAATAGAATACAACCTATCACAGCTGGCTTTCTTCTATACTCCATTGCAATTATAATTCAGTGGATATTTTCAAAAAGGTTCTCTAGAAGCATCTTTTCATATTTATACTCACTAAATCTGGCCAAAGGGATCTGGTAGCTATCATATTTGATTATTGTTTCTAAACTTTATACGGATAAACCTGATGAATAAGATATATTTATAAATTGTTTTTATATTAACATACAAACATGATGTCAGTAAAATTGCTTCTGAAATGTCTAATTGGTTGCAAAGGCTAAAAAGAAGACTTCGCTTATGTACAAAGTCTTTTTTACGTGTGTGGTCACCTTTTTCCTCATGCTGCAATGTCATATGGCAGGTTTCAAATCTTCTGCCTTCCTGCACAGAAGATACTATGAAACATGGATCTTTGGCCTTTTGGTTTTCTCCTAATTTTCTATGGACAGAGCCTCCTTAGCTCAGTGCAACACTAATATTCTTATACCTTTCTAGTTCTGTTGCATTCAGGTCCTCTGCATTGATAGATTTGCTCTATGGTTGAAAAATGTTGATGGGCGTGAGCAGAGTACTAGAGAGGCTTTGGGTCATGACTTGCAAGTTCACCTGGCACGCCTTGTTTTTATCAAAGGTCACACCTCCTATTCAATGATTCCTGGCCTAAGTAGGTTTTGATGAAATGGCATATGATGAATACAGAGTATGCAAAGAATCACCTAACTGTGTCACTCCTTTCTTGTGGAAATAGATTCTAAGCATGGGCTTGAGCTCCTCCTCTTTCATCCTAGCCTGGAACCCTTCTCTGTGAGATCCTGGTCTCTCTGCCTTGTGCTGTGCTTCCAATGTTTCCGTTCTTCCAAGAGTCACACTTTCGGGCAACAGATACTTGCTATATCTCCATTTCTGATAGAGGTGCATGACAGCTCTGTGGTGGTTTTTAGTCATGCTTTCACAGGCCTGTCTGAACTTGCTCTCAGTAGCTGGTATGGATGGCTGCATTACTTCTGGGATTTCACCTAGTATAAAGGTAAGGTACTACATGATTCTAAGTATACCAGCTCATTTGGATCTCGCTTGGGACTCTGTTGTAGGCATTTGCATAGCAGTTTTGCCTGACAGAGAGGAATGCAGGTGGCATTCCTGCCTCCTGTTCACATCTGATAACAGTTACTGGCAGCTGAATTACGTCTATTTTTATGCATACTTAAGGGTTGCAAAGGAGAGCTTTCAGAGAGAGAATATGGAGATTTAGAAATAAATTGCAAGAAATCTAAGAAGAATCTTGTATATCACTTACCTTATAGAAACTTCTATTTGTAGTCCTTTTTTAAAAAATAGAGACCCAAATCAGATATTATATAGGTTCCCTTAGTTAGACTGACCCTGCAATTTGAAAAGCCCCTTCCTTGCTTCACATGGATACTGAACATTTACTCTCTGAGATTCGGTAGTGTGACATTGGAAGAATGTGTCTAAAGGAATAGAATACATCTGATGTTATGAGGGGGTAGAGAGCTTGATGTCAGGAAGCAGAGGCAGAAATTTTTGGGGAAATACATAAAAATTTTAGAGAGACTTTATTCCAAGAATGAAGAAGGAACCCCAGCATTAAGTTATTCTAGGATAAGCTACAGGAAAGGGCATGCTTCAGTAAATTTAAAAAACAAAACAAAACCTCAAAGCTATACAGACTTGTAAAAAGTTGTAAGTTCTTCTAGTATAATAACAAATCAAAACCAAACATTGCCAACAGGAAAAGCTGCCCTCGGAACATAGTATTATAAAGTTCAGGACATAAAAATATATTCCACGTTGTGCTGGTTTTGGCTGGCATAGAGTTAATTTTCTTCACAGTAGCTAGAATGGTGCTTTGTTTCAGTTGATAACACAGGGATGTTCCTGTTACTACTGAGCAATGCTTACAAAGCATCAAAATCTTTTCTGCCCTTCGCATCGCCCCACCAGCAAGGAGGCTGGAGATGCACAAGGAGTTATGAGGGGACACACCCAGGACAGCTGACCCCAGCTGACCAAAGGGATACTCTGAATCACATGGCTTCATGCTCAGCAGTAAAACTAGGGTGGAGGTTGGCAGGGGGGAGCTGCTTCTTGGGAACTGTCTAGGCATTGGTTGGTTAGTGGTGAGCCATTGTTTTTCATTTGTGTCACTTGTTTTTTTGGGGTTTTATTTCTCTCATATTTTTGGTATTTTCATTATTATTCGTAGTATTGGTATTATTATTAAATTTATTAAATTATAAAATTTATCTAAATTTCAGTTATTAAATTTTGCTCAATCAATGAATTTTCTTACTTTTACCTTTCCACTTCTCTCCTCCATCCCACCAGGAAAGAGTGGGTGAGTGGCTCTGTGGTGCTTAGTTGCCAGCTGAGGTTAAACCATCACCCATGAAAGACTGAATACATCACTCGGGTTATGCCACTTGATTGGAAAACTTTTACAGTTGCATTTTTATTCACATTTCAAGTTGATGTTTCTCCCTTCCCCATTAATTCTTTATCTTATTTAACCTTTTGTTGTACACTGGCTCTTTAGTGATGCCACAGTTCTAGAGCTGAACAGATCTAAAGGTAATGTATGAGGAAGCATTTCAGAAGGGCAGAAACATCACATTGAACCTTCTAGAAAGGTTTAAGATAAAATAGATTAATTCATTCATTCTTGCTCTATACTCAAATTATTTTGAATATAGTTTCAGTGACAAAGTGTAATTACATTTACTTACTGAAATTACTGAGCTTACAGATATGTCTGTGTAAGGCTCTAAGATTAAATTGTTGTTTATACTTACTAATTTCTCTCAGTTTGTGTGCATTGAAGCACAGATTTATATTTTAAAGAAACCTTAGGATTTCCTTTTGAAGAAATGGGTGTGGAAGCCATGTCAGTGAGAACAGTTGTGGAGTCTTTTCATTTGATAAAACTTGTGCATAAGACTATCTTTCCTTACATCACTGGTCCCTTAGCTGCTGACATTCTATTTCTGCATGGATAATTTTTTTCCTCTCTCTTGCAGAGTTTGAATAGTTTAAGTTGTAGGTTCTGTTTTGAGCTAAGGAGAAATGGAGCTTGGCTTTGATGGCTAAACTTGATCTCAGTTTTGATTTAAGAAATTATTTAACCCAGGTGAACAGATTTTTCAACCCAATAATGCAGTGATTTGCTGCAATAAGTAATCCTGGAAAGCAGAGATTATTTGAGTCTTTGTTGGTTCTTCTCTAGGTTTTTTTTTCCTGTCAGCAAAGCATTTTTGTCCCTTTCTGAAGATATATATTTTATTTTGTCTCTAATTTTCTTGAAAACAGATGTTCCTGCATGCCCAGTATTTTTCTTACATGGAGTAATTAATTTTTCATAGAATTGATTTATTTGTTATTTTGTCATGTTTGTTGCAACCACAACCATAAGGTTCTCTACAGCACATAAGTGTATAATACAGTGTATTGTTCCTTGTATTAAATCAATTCCTTCTT